GTATTACATGTTTTGGAAATAATTCCCGAACAAGATTTCAACGAGACTGAAACCTCAGAAGAATACTTCCTCAGGTTTTTTATTTGTAATTAACAATCATTTAAAAAAGAAACAATAAACTGATCATGCAGAAAACTGCTTTCCCAAGTTTTCTAATGTTTAGGCTAGTTCTTTAATTTTGCCTATTGTAGAACAGAAATAATATTATAATTCCCCGTTTACCTTTGATACATTAGGATTAAATCCAGCAGGTTAGTTTCATTATTCACGTATCATCAAAATCTAGAAGTCTTTCAAGTATTGTGTAACTGTCTTTACGTTTGATTGGTTTAGCTTAAATATTATGGCATATGTGATAAGAAGTGTTATAGGTTTTAACTGGGTTGCAGCAGAACACATTCTAATTAAGGTACAGGTCTATTATTACAAGTTGAAGCAAGTAATGTTTTTTAACCATCTATATCCCAAGAGGATAATAATGCACAATCCCATTGATATTCAATTTAATAAATGACAGGAATACATATGTCATCATGGAATTTGAAAAGTTGTTCTCTATATAAATTACCTGATTGTTTTTTACTGACTTTTATAAGTACCCCAAAACCTACAATTCACTGGAAACATGATTTCAATAAATATGTTAATGTTATTACTTCATGTTCAGAAAACAGTTTAAAATTTTACCAGTTTTTTGTTTAAAATTGGTTTAATATATAAACAAAGGCATATATGTATATATATATATATATATATATATATATAAATACAATAGAAGTATACCGCTGTTCAATAGTCATAAATCAATTTAACTTAGAGAAAACAAAATCCGGATCACAAACCAAAACCGAGGGAAACATATCATATATATGCATCAGTTTATATGTACTAACTGAAAAAATGATTAAAGATAAGTTATTTGTAAATTATAAAACTATTTTCTCAAAACTGAATTATGCCGTTTTAATGTTACTTTTTATATGGTAACTCATTATTGTCCTACTTGTAATTTGTCCTTTGGAAAACAAGTCACAAAAACAAATACCTGTATCGTTAGTATTTGTACGAAAATTTAAATGAAAATCATACTTTATATATAAATGACGCTGCTTGCAAATTTGTATAACATTTAGTTGCAGAATGGTAAATTATTATCATATATTCAAAATAAAATAAACTTTATTGTTATTGATACATGTAATCAGTTTCCAACCTAATGTTTAATGAATACAATGTTAATGAGGAAAACATTTTGATATGGATGTAGTCGGAAAGAAATAAAAACTATCTACCTGCACATTTAAATTGTTTATGTACATGTAGAATGCCATTTTCGCACCTAACTGATCAAAATATAAATAGTATTGCATCTTACTAGATAGCCTAATTAAATTGACCATTTGTCTATACTTTATGACCCTAATAAATGGTCAATATCGTATTATTTATGACCCCCAATAAATATCAGATGTTATACATTTTTTCACAGTATGTCAAAGTTTTACTGTACATCTTTGGCTTTAAAATATTCGGCTTTAAGTATTTGGTTCCTGCTGAAGATAAATCCCGAAAAGCGCTTAGAGGGCATGAAATGTATAACGTGTTGATTTAATTTTTTAATGAATAGATGATAGGCTTATTGAAAATAATACTCGTACCTCAGAAAAATGTGAATACTCCCCAATGAAGAAATAAAATACTTTAACCGCAGTATTATTTGGCAAAAGCTGGCAGTGTTGCAATATGTACACCAGATATATATTTGAAACCATTTGGCTGCAGTGATATTATTTGTTTGGCCTAGTTTGAGGAAAAGGGACAAATTTTGGATTTTCACTTTTTCAGATATACTTTTTTTTTCTTTCTGAAATCAAAATACGTATGTTAACTCTATATCTAATGACGTTCCAAGTAAGCGAACGGAATAGCTATTGAATGATTCTTAGCAATCATAATAGAATCTTAATGAAATGGAAAATAGAATCCTACCCATGCAACATTTCAGCACAAAATAATAAAAGGCAAGTCATCGAATAAAGACTTTTTACGCACAAGGAAACAATAAGTTTGTTCAAAATAATTATAAATTTATACCACGTATATCAAGCACATTAATTTCAAGCAACCTTGATTGTTTCAGGGTATTTCTGTTTTCCGAGATATTAAAAAAACTGATAATTTCTGATTTTAATGAAATGCCATAAATTAATTCCTCTTATATCAAAATATTTTTTTTATTCTGAACTCCAATGCTATTGGCTTTTTAAAATGCCATGATATATTTTACGTCTTGTATATCCATTTTTTTTTCTCATACAAAACTAACTGAAAAGCAAAAAAAAAAATCATCCCAACTGCATGCAATTTAGGCAAACCTTGACTAATCAGAGTTTCTTTTAGGGAGGGATTTTATTTCAGTTTTGTTCTAATTTGCAGTTCATAAATAATCAAAGATTTGTGTTTCATGGAACTCCAATAGATTACTGAATCACGCAGACCATCAAATTGTATACAGACTTATTCACCTCTCATAAAACTAAATTTGGGATAACCTGAAAATTTGAAGAAAAAAAAATTGTCCGTTTTTTTTATTTATTCTGCCATTAGAGAAATGGCTTTGCACAATCTGGGAAACTTTAAATATAAGTATTTGATATCTATAAAATCAATTAAGACAAAACTAGTCTTAGTTTGATGACTTCAAGCTATTCGCTCTCAGATTCATCATTCCAGCTCATAAGAAGTCAAAATACGTATTTTTAGTCTTGCAATTAGAAAAAGAGTTGAAAACATTTGAAAATGTTGAAAATCCGAAATTATCTGTTTTTCAAAATGTGTGGCTACGAATATATATTTGTATAATCCATAGTAATACATATGAACCAAAACTTGGTCAAGATATATGATATAAGCCCTTCATTTGTCAAATTTGTGTGTTTTTTGTAAAGTATTCAAAGGGTAGGAGAAAATGTTCCATTGCCATAGTGTAGTTTACAAGAAAATGAAAGGTTTATTGGGTTCATAAGTTGTCAAGTACAATATCGCAAGCAATTAAGCAAAATCTTTTACATGTCTTTCTTTCCGTACATTTTTTCCCTCAATGCGTAAAATCCATCAAGAAGCTAGACCAATATACATGAAAATTGCAAAATTGACCTCTGTTTTTTGTATTTATATATATAAAACGAAAGAAATGGGTCATATCAAAATTGAAGAACCAGGTTTTGTAAATGTTTGTCATCCGCTTTCGTCCAACAAGTCCACGAGACTGGAACTCTTGCCTTTTTCTCAATCATAATAATGTTATGCCTTTACAGCAAACTTTTCGGTATGAAGGCTTGTTAGAGAAAATGAATTTCACCCTCTAAAATATTTAAAAAACAATTCAGACACACCAACCAAAAACACCAGTCGTTTGTGTTGTATGTCTGTTAGATTGTCAGGGGAGGCATTGGTTGGTAGGTTGTCTAATATTTTAAGGATTGTTTTACAATTATTTTGTTGAAGGTCAAAATAAAAGGACAAGATTTTTGCTTTTCCTTTTCATGAAAATAATCAATCTATATCAGCTTATTTAAAAAATATATAAATTAAGCCAGAAAACATTAAAAAAAATCAATAATTGATCCACAGATCTTCTAAGTTTACCCCCTCCCCCATTTTTTCTGAAATGTTATCCATGTATGTGTGTATGAATGATTGGATATGTTTGCCTGTTCCTTTGATCATGAACTCTCTTGTCTCCAGCTAGTATGCCTTACAGACTATCGAAGAATCACCTCTTTCTCTTGTTGTTTTGCTGAAAGTTTGATATATTTCAGTTTTCTTAAATTTCCTCACCAAGCAATGTCAAAAAGTGTCTGTGTTGCTGGCATATGTTTGACTGAAGTAATATATCATCAATATTACAAATCTATTAGTATGCCCTCTTTTTTCACTTTGACTTCTATCCAGACATTACATTCCAATCAAATGTATATGCGTGTTCTTATTACACTGTGAACTATGTACTGAGATTGTGTCATTGTCATAGCTTTATAATTTGCCACAAGAAATATCAGTAAATATGAAATATATCTTGTTCTCATTCTTCATGACAGAAAAAATATCATAACGTTATGTTTTCACAACCATGGATATTGCAAATAAGGGGAGATAACTGGCCCTGTTTGTTAATTGGTTATTGAGATTTTTTGGCAATTATGCATAAAAGTAAGGACAGTAAACATGTCAAACACTAATTTTATGCAATTCTGTTATTGCTAGGTTAATTAATATCTTAATGTTACGGGTTTAATTAGAATTAAGATAATTCAAAAATTCAATAAAATATACGAAAGCTAGATGCAAAATGAAATACCTTGCACAAATTTCCCAAAATTGGATTTTCATATTTTTATTACAATAACCATTTGTCTATTAACAGCAAATCATTTCGTAAAAAATGTATTTTTCTTTATGATATTGATGAAATTCACTGTGGCCTACAAGGCCTTTTATCATATTCCTACAGCAGAATCATTCAACACTATACTTTACGGAATGGTTAATGTTGTTTTACCTTTGATAACTATTTGTATATGAGGGACATGTAAAACTGTAAAATACCAAGATTAACTGTTTATAAACAATACACATTTGAATTATTTAAAGGCATTATACAATAGAAGCTGTTGTTTAATATAGACATGATGCAACAAAGTCTACGATTTATTTTTCGTTTTCCTATATATCTGAGATTTCAAAAATATAGAAAGATTTCTAAGTTCAGACCTGCTAATGGGACAATAAATTTGATTCTGCATAGTTTTCTGTCAGACTGTGTCTTAATATCAATATAATAAAACTAGCTTACAAAAAACTTCATGAAACAGTAATTTAGATTATCATTTGTAATCAAAGTTCTTTGTATTGATTAACTTGCAAATACGATATTCAATCAAATTAAGATATAAGTATAGCAAACTTTAATGAAGTCTCTTTTTTCAGACAAGAAACGATTTCACCTTTTTTGTCAAGGAGTAACCATGGTTTTTTTATATCCAATTTATGACAAGCTTAAAGAGGAGGTAAGAGTTGGAAATCAGCATACTGCTATAGCTTATTAACATTTGAATATGACTTAATAATTATGCAATTGATAACGTAGATAATTAGTTATTTGTACAGTTGATGTTATCAATGTGCTTGAGATATTTCCATCATCGTGTGATTACATTTTGTTAATTGAATCATCGTGTTAATACATGTTTTTTTCTAAATCAAACATCGTGTGAATTCATTTGTAATTTTCACCACCGAGTGAATACATATATGAAACAAAAACATCCACCTTGATAGTATATAATCCGTTATTTATTTCTTTTTATATTCTGACATTAAATCTAATACTTTAGAATTAATTCTGGTTAGAAACAAGCAACTTAAAACTGCATTGATATCAACATTCTTTTCCTGATGGTTTGAAATCTTATTTAACGTAATTGATTATTGTTTAATTTTCAGTAATAAATCACAATGATGTTTGTATTGGTTTTTTATTGGTTTAAAAAAATGAATATTCAATCTGTTTTCATAGAAGTACATGTAACACGTTTGATAGATACCCTGCCACGTACGGTATGAGTTTTTGTTACTTGCTTTTCGTATTTTTTTATCTGATGATTTAAGCCGTTTTCAACTGAATGTTTATAGTTTATAATATGTTGTGCTGTTGCACCACTGCCCCAGGTTATGGGATGAATGGGCATCCGCAAACATGTTTAACCCCGCCACATTTTGTATGTGCCTGTCCCAATTCATGATCATGTTATAAGGTGCAATACCACCATTGATTTTCCCCTTTTAGTCTTTGTTAAATTTGCACTTTAAAAAAAATGTGCAGAATTTATCTTTGTTTCAAATAAAGAAATACTTGGCATGAATAAAGTTTTATCCTGTCCAGTACTGTCACATAACATTTTATTGCATATAAGAAAATAACCATCACTGGAATGTAACCAATCAAATTTTCCCCCTTTTTTACCTGTGTACAAGCTTTAGTAACCATGTAACCTCAAGTTTCCAAAATATTCTATAGAAACCCCAAATAAAAAAAGGTGTTTTGAAATACCATCGATATATGTTGATGACCCAGAAATGTTTTACTGCAATGAAATGTAGGATCAATTACTACAACTGTCAAATTCAAGGGAATATTTTTTTTCGACCTATTTTCGTATGCAACCGGATGTGACGTACTATGCTTTGGTGGTATTACACCTAAAGAAGACTTTTTTGTTAAATAAACTGAATGTGACTTTTTCCCCTTGTAATATTGTTTTTTTTTAGCATTTCTGTCTAGTTTGTCATACTCAGTTCAATAGTTTGAGAAAAATCTAGTATAATGTAAGACGACATCTACAGCGATTCGAGCAAAACTTCTTCGAAAAATCCAAACCAAGCCGCATCATAATAGAATATAGTGTGGACCAATAACTGATCAAATATTTATCTCATCTGCCTACACACAGTTGAATATGATACAAAAGATGACTTTAGGATGATAAGTACTACTAATGGACCTTTTTGTCTTCCTTATAAGGTCTCTTTTGGTCCATTTATACCTCTCATTTCCTCAAAATTTCTACTTTTTGGGCCAATAAATAAAAAATTTAGGGTAACTTTCACTCATTTATGATAGAAATGTTATAATAAATGATAAATTGAAGTAAACAAGCTCAATGAACTATCCGTATAAAAGTTTACCGTCTCCAAGGAGGTTTTAATAAGTCCTTACATAAAACTTAAATTTAAGCCGCGTTCCAGAGAGGGACGTAAAAAGCTTCTCTTTTGGTGAATAATTTGTTTTTACTGCTTTAAAAATAATTTTATTTACTTAAAACTATATATATATATATATTCATTAAAGTATTTCTTAGGAAAAAAATTCTAGTATAGCAGAATATAAGAAATAAGGAGAAAAAGCTCCCCAGAACTCTAAGTATGGCTTGTTCTGTCAACTAATATTCATGGTAAAGTCCTATTTCAAGGAAATTTTCTAATAATGTGTTTTGGAGACTCAATCCACTCAGAATATTTCATTATTTGTAATATTTCACTTAAAAAGCAAGAAAATTTAACACATGAGAGTACTCACATGGTCAAAGGTGCATGTACAGCTTCCCATATTAGGTGTAATACCACCATTGATTTCCCCTTTTAGTCTTTGTTAAATTTGCACTTTTCAAAAAATTGTGCAGAATTTATCTTTGTTTCAAATAAAGAAATACTTGGCATGAGTAAAGTTTTATCCTGTCCAGTACTATAGAAACATTTCATTGCATAAAAGACAATAACCATCACTAGAAGTTAATCAATCAAATGTTCCCCCTTTTTTAACTTGTGTACAAGCTTTAGTAACCATGTAACCTCAAGTTTCCAAAATATACTATAGAAACCTCAAATAAAAACAATAGGTGCTTTGAAATACCCAAGATATATGTTTATGACCAAGAAATGTTTTACTGCAATGAAATGTAGGATCAATTACCTGCAACTGTCAAATTCAAGAGAATATTTTTTCGACCTATTTTCGTATGCAACCGGATGTGACGTACTATGATTTGGTGGTATTACATCTATAAGGTGACCTATTGTTGTTAACTTCTTTGTTATTTGGTCACTTGTGGAGAGATGTCTCATTGTCAATCCTACCGCTTCTTCTTATTTTAATATCTATTAAATTTTCTCAAATGTGTTTTTATTAACTTAAAATATTTTCCATCTTGACAAATTGAACTTCATCATCTAGGCCAGTATTGCCCTTATCGAACTTAGTTCTTTGCATTTTTAAGATTATAAAAATACGTTTAGATATACGTCAGTACAAAGTTCGATTTTCTGGGTCAATTTCAGACTTTTTTAGCCATACTCCTCTTTTTATGAGAATTCCCGATGAAGGTAAATCCAGAAAAAAATCTTTGGACAATTTTAATGTATTAGGCAAATAGCGCAGGCGTCCACAAACTAAATACTCAAGGGTTATTTTCATTTCTAAGTTCAAGGGGAAGAAAAAAAAGGAAATAGAAAACACAATTATATAAATGACATTTCAAATATCATGACCACAAGGGGAAAAAAGACAACCATCGTGTATTAACTCATTTTGAAGTGAATCGGTCGTTTTGATCTAAACAGCTCTTACAATACTGAAAAATAAACTATTAAGTCATGTTCAGTTGTTCAGCTAACTTTCTGACTAACTTGTATCCACTGCGATTAATTTCGTACTATTCAGGCAACTCACTTGAAGTCAATTAAAATCTTTTCAGAATTTTAATTGATGTGTATTATTTACCGGTATAAAACAGGAACATGCTGAACAATCTCGAAATGTACTGAACAATGCTTAATTGACTGCGAGGAAAAGTCTGAATATTACCGAAAGTATAACATTAAAATGACCCTTTTTTTAAGTCTTACTAGTGGACAGACAACCACTACATTTAAAGTCAACGAAAATAACAATTGTTCTCATCGAGGATGATCCACAATTGATTCGGAAGGCTGCGTATTTTTAAACTATGGTTATTGCATGCTCTTATATTATCTTTCATATAATATATGCAGTTCAAATTCTATTTTTGTCATACTTTCCGAGACTTAGTGTCCCTAACCCTAATCTTTACCCTAAAACAACGCCACCTCGTAAGCACTTATGTCTTAGAAGTCATGCACAATATACATCATTGTCTAAAACCTTTGACTTATTAACTAAAATATATCATTCATAACTCCTACATATTATATATTATAGATTTAAACTAATTCAATTTTCTCAATTGTTGTTTTCAATTCTCTCCAATTAAACGCTTAGTCGCTGTACTTATCGATATCTAAATGTCTTTAAAAAAATCGAAACGTTCAATTATAAACATGTATCAAAAGCACATCTGTTTGTTTTTGAATCCTTAATATTTATTTCAATTGTATCATATCATTTGTAAATATTTAATATTGTTAAAACTAAACATGTGTCAGAGTTTTCCCCCTTTTCAGATGTATTCCATTATATCCACAGATTTGTAATTGCTGGAAAAAAAAAAACAAAGACGATATGATCACTTCAATGTGTAAATTGATGTTAATGTAATTTGCGCGGTTTTCTTGATTTTATTTTTAGGGTCAATTCGTACCAATGGTGAATTGCCTCATAATGAAGGATTGATTGATTGTATTTCGCATAAAGTCAAATAATATTTTTTCATATATGTACAGAATTGTTAAGTCCGGAGTAAATATTGGGGAAATTAAGACTGCTACTGGTACATGAGGGTTTATTGGATAGTGACAGATATTGTGATTTGCAGAAGGCAACCTACGGACACCTCAAAGAGTTGTCGTAAGGGTACTTTAAGTACAGATAGCATGGCACTGTATCTAGACGAGGCATCGGAATTAATGTCCTCAGCCAGACTTTTATTGTATTCATCCTGCACCGCAGGTAGAACGTCTCTATTTGGTTTTACCGGCGGGCAAAAGAAGAATAACGTGGACATATGTCTATGTCAACAGCGGAGAGTCCGTTAACGAATTAGATTATTTTCTGTATACTCTTATCTTCAACGTATACTTGGGAGATTCCTCTAAACCAATATATATAAATATATAAATGGTGTCGTAGATTAGTCTTTATAGGAAAAAAAACATAGAAAGATCATTAGTGTATTGTACAAATTCTTACATTTTCAAAATTCTCTTTTCTTTTTAAATCTGTAACTGAAGTTGTTTACACTTTTTATATACTTCTAATTATACAATAAGGCATGGAATTATGTGGTCTTAATGGTATATACATATATATATGCGACATTTGTTTATGATAAAGACAAAGTATGGAAATCCACAGTGAACCCACCGATCATTATTATTTTTCCCATAGAGATACATGGATTTAAATAAATCTTCTGCTTTTAGAATCCCGCCGATTATTATCAATTCTAAAACCTTCGGCTTTTAAAAATGAAGACCCCACCGATTATTCTTAACGTCAAAATCTTCGGCTTTTAAAAATTCACCACCGATTATTTTTAATGTCAAAATCTTCTGTTTTTAAAAATTCACCGCCGATTATTTTCAATGTCGAAATCTTCGGCTTTTAAAAATTCAACGCCGATTATTATATTATAAAATCTTCGGTTTTTAATCAAATGGCCGCCGATTTTTTTCAATTATAAAATCTTCGGCTTTTAAAAGTCTGACCCCCACCGATTATTATCAATTGTAAAATCTTCGGCTTTTAATCAAGAGCCCTCAGATTATTTTCAATAATAAAATCTTCAGCTTGTAATCGAGAGCCCACCGATTATTATCAATAGTAAAATCTTCGACTTTTATAAACCAAACCAAAAATAATCTCCGGGACCTACATATTATGATTGTTAATCTGCGGGGGAAAAATGCAAAGACTTACATCAAATGCAGACGTGGAACAGAGAAATACATTCGAAACTCTCTAGATTTGCATAGTCTGGTTCATTTCACCAAGAAAGGTTGAGATAGGTAGGTGTTATTGTTGAAAAGACTACTGAAAACCTTAAGCATGCAAGCACATGCAGACTATATAGTATGTATGTATGTATGTATATATTTAAGAGTGTGCGTAAGCGTCTGTATAATCTTTAAGCCCCCGTGACAAAATAGGGGGGTACTAAAAGAGGGACGAAAGATACCAAAGGGACAGTCAAACTCATAGATCGAAAACAAACTGACAACGCCATGGCCAAAAATAAAAAGACAAACAGACAAATAATAGTACAGATGACACAACATAGAAAACTAAAGACTAAGCAACACGAGCCCCACCAAAAACTTGGGGTAATCTCAGGTGCTCCGGAAGGGTAAGCAGATCCTGCTCCACATGTGGCACCCGTCGTGTTGCTTATGTTATTACAATCCGGTAAATAATTTACCCCTGTTCGTCCGTCTGTTCGTCCGTAAGATGCATTGTTTGTCCAGCTATCTCCTCCTACAGTTAAATCATCATATATATTGTTGAGGGTACCCAAGTTGCACTTATTTTGACAGTTTGTTCACCTACGTTTGTTTATGATCCAAACAAAAGTTCCTATTCTGTGTTTATTTTGTAGATGTTTCATTATTCACTATATGGTTCCACCAATTTAGTTTTGAATCTTTACTGAATCATAAAAAATTAGGTTTGAATATATTTCCAAACGGTCCATGATTCTGAAATATGGAGTACCCAAATTGCATCCATGCTTACATTTGCAGCCTTAAAAACCAAATTACAGATAATTTTTTTTATATTTTCAAATATTCAGAACAACTGGACATTAATCTATGTTTACTATTCGTTTTTTAAGGAATGGAGGCTTGTAACATATTGTATTTGCTCATTTTTAAAAGATGACCTTTTGGTGGACATCGCACCGCGACGCTTCTGTATATTTTACCTTATACAGTTATACTTTTGATGTATATTGTGAACATTTTGTGCATATTTAAATATATATACTTATGTTGAAAGACGTACACAATGTCAAATAATGAAAATACAAATTGTTTCGTCCCTAAGAAAAAGTAAGATTTCTACTTCTACTTTTACTAAATAGGCACAATTTGGACACTCGGTGCAATTTGGGTACTGTGACGTTATATATATATATATATATATGAGTGTGTGTGCAATAGATTGGGCGTCTGTATCGACAAAATAGGCCAGGGATATTTATTTACCCGAGTTCGTCTGTAAGATACATACTCAATCGTAACGTTCGTCCGCCTATCTCTTACAGTTTGGGAGGTATAACTTTATCATTTTGTTGGATGCTCATACACATAATGCAGGTGTGCATGGTCACATTTTGTCATGGGGGCTTAAATATTATACGGCTGCTTATGCACACACTTACATATATACATACATACAAATACACATACTATATAGTCTGCATGTGCTTACGTGTATAAGGTTTTCAGTTGTCTTTTCAACAATAACACCTATCTATCTCAACCTTTCTTGGTGTAATGAACCAGAATATGCAAATCTAGATAGCTTCGAATGTATTTCTCTGTTCCGCGTCTGCATTTGATGTAAGTCTTTGCATTTTTATATTTCCCCGCAGATTATAACAGTCATAATATTCGGGTCCCGGAGATTATTTTTGGTTTGGTTTATAAAGGACTATAAAAGCCGAAGATTTTACTACTGATAATAATCGGTGGGCTTTTGATTTAAAGCCGAAGATTTTATTATTGAAAATATTCTGCGGCGGGGGGTCAAACTTTTAAAAGCCAAATATTTTATATTCGAAAATATACGGCGGCCATTTGATTTAAAGCCGAAGATTTTTATAATATAATAATCGGCGGTGATTTTTTAAAAGCCGAAGATTTCGACATTGAAAATAATCGGCGGCAAATTTCTAAAAGCCGAAGATTTTGACATAAAAAATTATCGGCGGGGTCTTTATTTTTAAAAGCCGGAGATTTTAGAATTGATAATAATCGGCGGGATTCTAAAAGCCGAAGATTTTAGAATTGATAATAATCGGCGGGATTCTAAAAGCCGAAGATTTATTTAAATCCATGTATTTCGAAGGGAAAAATAATAATGATCGGTGGGTTCACTGTAGCTTTCCATAACAAAGATACTATACAATTTTTAGTATTTTTTTTTATTAAAGCTTTCATTTTGGATTTGTCCTTATTTTCACCAATTTCATTTATTTTCAATCTAATACCAATAATATATGAACCACGACATTTGAAATTGACTAGACACCATTGACGTATAAGCTGGAGGGCCATCTCTGTGTCCCCTCTCAATTTTTGACAATTTGATGTACTGCCAAAAAATATCAAAACTTATTTAGAAAGCATACTATTGAGTATTAGACTATCAAAGATTTGTTTCTGTTTTTCACGCTCAGAATGCATCCCCAACTCTCTTTTGTAGTCTACGCCTACGCTACTGCAAAGTATGGTACTACTAGGCATGTATGCATTCAAAAAGAGGGCATGCACAAAATGAAAATCATCACGGATGTAAAAAAATACTACTTTCCTTACCTAAGCTTATCATAAAATCTTTTGCAGTTTATGTTTAATTATAAAAATTCCCTAGTGTTAATGTAAAGATGATAAAATGAGGGAAAGTTTCTATTTGCCATCACCATGTCATGATTAATATAATAAATGCATTTATGACATGTTGACCTCATACACGACCATAATTGTATATATTATAAGATATAAAATGAAACGGCATTGATGCAAATGTATTTTCTTTTTCGTGTTAGTGTTTGTATTTTATACAATTCATCTGACGAAGTTATTACATAATATATGGACTTACAATAATGTGCTGTTCTTTTAATACCAAGCATTTTTGTATATGAGGTTCAATTTCAATATTTTGATATTTTTTAGGACATTAAAAAACCATTTGAAATAGAATTAGACAAAACAGGGAAATATATATTGGTTGGAGATAAGATGAGTTCAGAGGCAGCAAAAAAAGGCTTACTATCTGATCTTGGAAAAAGATTTGGAAAAACAGAAATAGAAATTGATACAATTGAACCAGCAAATTTATTAAAAGCAATAGAGGATGGAGGCAGTGGTATCAATTTAATGTTTTGTTTTTCAGTAACGCCTAAAGATCCACTGATACCAGAAATCAAGGAAAAACACTCCCAAAAAATCAAGCAGACAAACATAGTACTTATCAAGAAATACAAAGATAAGAGGGCAGATATTCGAGAACGAATAGAACAGTTGAAAGCAAATACTTCACTTAAGACAACTTCTGTATTGACTTACTCAAATTACATTAACCCGTTACCATATTTATCCATTTTGGCCACTCTAGGAACATATATAAAGGGCAAAGTAAAAATAGCAAAATCAATAAAATAGTAATACTAGATTACATCATTGAAAAGAATTAGACAGTTCCGGAAATCTCAAAAAAATATGTCATAGAAATGTTCTAGGATAGAACTGTTAGGACAAATCATACGATAGAGCTGTTTGAATTAGTTCCAAGGTACAAATGTCTTAATCTTTTCAATGATAGAACTGCTAGAATCTCTTCTAGGGTGAATCAATTATGAATGTCTTAAATAAGAGCAACTCTCTGGATGTGAATTCAAACAGATTCAGTAATGTGTAGCTGGCTTACGGATGTTTGTCATATTTTCGCTGAACAAGATTAACAAGTAAAATAGTTACAGTCTTGAATATATGTTAGTTGTATATTTTTCAATGTCTATAATCATTTTCTACAAAAAAAATAAATAAGCTTATTTTTGTATGTAGTGTTATGATTAAGCATTTTATAACTATACCTCATTGATGTGCCTATAACAGAAGCCTGTTCTACAATAGCGGTCGTTGGTTCGTGTCTGTCACATTTGTATTTCTGTAATTGTTTTGTCATAAATAAGGCCGTCAGTATTCTCGTTTGAATTGTTTTACATTGTTTGCTTGACGGGACCTTTTATAACCAACTATATGGTATGTGTTTATCTCATTGTAGAAAACCGTAGTGTGGCCTATAATTCCTTACTATCACTTCATTTCAACTCTGGCGGATAGTTGTTTTTATTAGCAATCAAACCACATCCCCTCATTGTTATATCATAATATGTTTGTAATAAGCATACACATACCAACTTTATAAAGAGAATTATTCAGGTCAAAGATCACTTGTTCAGTGTTTAGATTACACAGTGACCACATTATTTTCTCGCGAGTATCTTTATACATGAGTTATCCTAACATTTTATAACAGTATATAATGATACAAATGTGATCTGAACACATTATGTAATAACATCAGGTTATAAAATGAATTAAATTAAAAAAATAAGATATGAACAATAACAATAATTGATTAAAATAAAAAGGACACTCGTAAATATGTTATTCTTTTTTGTTTAAAATTGAATTGGTCGATGAAAATTGATGACATTAAGTCAGCAGTCATCTTCACAAGCGAATTAAGATCGAACATATCTTATTTGCTAAATAGATACATTTCTAGTGAATCCATCTAGTTAAAACGTTCATTCGTGGGGGCAAAAACAATGTCAATATTAAGCATTTTAAAATATTGTCAACAACAAATTTCTCTGGACAATTAATCAATGTGACGCATTTATTCATTAACACGAGTTGAAATTGAAGAATGTGATATTCAAACTCCAGATTGTTCTTTTTCTGTATTAGTTTATCACCGATGGTTTAAGGGAGCCAACATCAAATTCAGACAATTCCATGCATTCATAACAACGAAGACAAAACAACATTACAATAGAGTAGTTTTTTTTTTTATCAAATATGCATACATTTATTTTAAAACAATGTTTAAGGGTCTTTTCCCTCTGAAACATGATTGATTGATTTATTGGTTTGTTGGCTGTTCGACTTATTAAATACATGGAAAAAGTTCTCTTTGAACAAGCGAAAAAAATAATGATGAGATTTTGGACCTCCTATTAAACACATGGGACAGAAACATGCATGCATAATTTATTGATTGATTGCTTGGTTGGTTGGTTGGTTGATTAAAATTTTGCATGACACTCTATCTATATGCGAGGGATCGAACTTAACGTCCATATTCTGACCGAACGTGGCTGCGTAAGTATTTATCCCACACAGCCAAACGGGTTGCTTGGATTCTTATTGTTTTTTTATTGATTGAAGGATTGATTGATTGATATAATGTTTGGTTGACTGATCGACTAATTAAACACATGTGATAAAGTCTATTGGACCATGGAAAATAGAACCAAACGAGATACTGGACCCCGTATGAAACACATAGGATCGAAACATATATGTATGGATGCATGCATGCATCATTGATTGATTGATTGATTGATTGATTGCTTGCTTGATCGGGTGATGGTTTTGTTAATTGGTGGTTTGTTCGGTTGGTTGAAGTTGGTGAAGTCACGTGATACTCGAATATATATGTCTGCGTATTTATTCTTGTTTAGGGGAGACCGTTTAACAGACCATATGTGACCTGATAAGAGTAACACGATAACCATTGATGTTTTATTTATAGGTAATTGATGTATGATCATGCATGCTTTTTTCCCACACCAATTTACGGGAGCACAAATTTGTGTTTTAAAGACCAAACTGCATATTTTTTGTGCGCATCAGCAAACGCAACTTGATTATGACATAAACCCTCTATGACGTTGTTTCAAGTTCCGGAGAAGCAGCAGATTAGAACTGGGATTGTCGCCGCAAAACGTTAGTAAAAAAATTAAACAAAAATTAACACAAACTGAAACTACCAATAGCTTTGACATTGAGCGTTAAACTACAAAGTTGTTTTTACGTGTGTACATGAGTAACGTTTAATTCAGACTACCGCTAAATGTAGGCCGATATAAAAATAGTTCAAGAAGTTTCGATCTATACAAGATATGAAAATAAGGAGATTAGGTATAATTGCCAATGACACAAATATCCACCAAAGTTAGCACCACTTTTTATTTATGTTTATTAATGGGTTGAGTATTGTAACTGATACCCGTAAAATATTTTCCGATCTTGTAATAAAGTTCAATCTTATTTATACTGCTAAATTGGGAAAAAAAAGATGCAGTGTATTTTGTCATTTTTTTCGATTAAAAATTTCTGAAGTGAAAAACGATAAAGATATTTTTCTTTTGCTCTTTTTGAAGCTTAAGGCAAAATTGTAAGAAATCAATGCTTGAATCCAAATTTGAATCTACATTAAATGTTTGTGAAACTAAGCTGTTGTTATAATAACTAAATAAAAAAAATATTTGCTCCAGAATAAAATCAAACATTATGCTATTTTACCTTCAAGAAGTTACCATGACATGGAAACATTGAAAACAAACTGGATTTTCATTGCCCGCAATTGTTTACGTTGTGATTTTTGTTTACCTCTTTACTGTTTTGAGAAATACTCTATATTTTTCAACGGAAAATATTACTAACAGTTCAAATGAAAGTTGTTTTATTTTAAAGTAGACGTGTTTTGTAGCTTATTTGTATTTTGTATTTACTCTCAATGTATTCAAGAAAAGAGTAATAACCGAGATCGTATTTTATAATACCAAGCCACATACTTGTAATATTTAAGAATTAAATACTTGATTATATCTATCATTTCAAGTTCCTTCGATTATAAATATTTAGAAATAATGAATCCACCTAGATAAAACAGATTGTATAAGCCCGTCTTAGTCGGATCGTTATTGGTATTAGACGTAGTTCGTCATTGTTTTAGTCAGTCTGTCAACACTACAGTGGCAAAGGAATAGAATGAAGAATGAGTTGAGGCAATTTTCTAAAGTGACGTACAAAAAAACACAAATATAATGTAATATAATAATGTAAACTTAGGCCAGAGAAAACAGTTATGGCTTAGTGCATTTCTTTTAGACAAAAAAAGGCAAAATTGCAAAATCGATCCTGTTCTATCCAAAAAAAAAAGTTTTTTACAGTGCAGTGTACTGCTTTTTTGACAAGTTATGTCAAAATTATAGAATAATCTATCGGCTCTAACTCAAAATATAGACAATTTTAGATTAAGGAGGTCAGTAATTCAGTTTGACTGCTCCAGGCACACTAATTTTTTACCTCTTCAAACTGGACCAAATCACTACTTAACCACAAAATTCATGCCAAAAATTTTTCTTACATGTAATTGCATCCCCCTTTTTACTATTTTATGCATAACATTTGAAGAACAAAATCGAAGTTATACACTGTCAACACAAAGGACGATCATTCAAAGGACGACAACTGTGTCCCGGACCAAAAGTCTTATAGTCTAGAATTAAGTAAGTGTTGTCTTTCATTTTTATTTTTTATTTCAAAATTTTGTCAAACAGGTCGGGGATAAAAACACATTTTCTTTTTTAAAAGTGCAGAAGAAGATGATTTCAATAGCCCCTCAAAAATTTCAAAACGCTCCAAAATTGATGAAACTTTACAACAATGTCAATAGACATCTGTAGATGCACTCTTTGACTCCGGATTTTCTAAATAAATGCCGCTCGCCTGGCAATGGGTGAAGGGTGCCATCCGCTATTGCTTGCAATGGCAAATTTAGTTATGGCACCCTCAACGGAGATGGGGTGACATACTGTTATTCTACGTTTCTTTTTATGGCACTCTCAACGGAGTTGGGGTGACGTATTGTTATTCTATGATTGTTTTTTTTCCTTAATCTTCTTCCACACATTTTGTCCACGCAAGTTCTTAGAATTGAATGGACCAATGTTGATAGAACTATACAATTATGTGCACTAGCATGTGAAGTTGTGCACCTGGGGCAAGTTTAACATTGACCCTATGGAAAACGCATAAAATCAGCATTTTCTTAAAGAGTATTTCACCAAAGTCCATGAAACTGTACTGATATATAACATGAAATGTGGCAATAAGATGTCTGCTTTTAGAATTTTGGAATTATCCACTGTAACCATGGATGCAGCAAAAATATCCAAAATTTCAAAAAAATTTAAAATGCTGCAAACTGGATGAAACTTTGTAGAAATGGTAACTGGCATGGGCAGCGTTGCATTTGGAAGTTGGAATTTTCAAAATGGTGGCCGTAACCATGGAAACAGCAAAAATGTCAAAATTTTCAAAATGCTCCAAACTTAATGAAAATTTATAAAAATGATAATTTGCATGTGTAGATACGCTCTTTGACTTTGGAAGTTTCAAAATGGCTTCCGTTATCCTGGCAATAGGGGGACGAGGGTGCCATCCGTTATTGCTAGCAATTGACCTTATGGGAAAACATATTAAAGGAGCAGTTTCTTAAAGAATATAAGATAAAACCCAATGAAACTTCAATCATGTGTAACATGTCATCAGACAGTGTGGCATGTGTCTTTGGAATTTTGGAATTAATCACTGTTACCATGGAAACAGCAAAAATTTAAAAAAAATAAAAATGCTTTTAATTTAATTAAACTTAATATAAATGTTTACTGGCAAGTTTAAATGAGACTTCCCACTTTGGAATTTCCAAAATGGCCGCCGTTGCCATGGAAACATCAAAAATGTGAAAATTTTCAAAAAGCTCTCAATGTTCTGAAAATATGCAGAAAGGTGTATAGCAATGCATATATGTGCATCCACCGTTTACAATTTTCGAAATGGCTGCCGCTAAGTGGCAATGGGGTGACATCCGCTATTGCTTGCAATAGCAATTCTAGTTATGGCACCCTCAACGGAGTTGGGGTGACATATTGTTATTCTACGTTTCTTTTTATATTTTTTATTATTATTATTTTTCTTCCA